CGAAGGCTTCGAAATGGCAATCATAGCGAATAGGTAATTGTGGTCTACGACCTCCAAGTCCAAGCTATCACCGTGCGTCGGCCCCGTTCAGGCCTCACTGGGTTAATCGCCCGCGTTCTCATAGAGAGCAAAAGCCTAGACTCATAAACAAAGCTGGAGTGTTATGAGCTTAAGAAACTATTAGAAACCTGCGCTAATCTCTGGCTCACCTCTCTTTCTCTCTCCTTTTCTCCTTCTCTCAGTACAATGAATGAGCCCTCGGGAGAAAGTGTCCGTCTTTTTGTTCTGGCAATTATTGAGGACGTGGATCGATAGGGTTCCAGTCCCTTGTGGTGCTGTCGGTTGGTAGGGAGTGAGACCAAGGATCACAGAGGTGAACGGCGACGAAATGGGGTGGATTCTGTGAACAAGGTGAGTCTTTTTCTTATTGTTATTGCTCTTTGCGTTTTCATTTTGTTTGGTTGACATTAGCGGGGTGGGCGGAAGGGGCCACAGGGAGGCCTTCGTACTTCTGTCTTTGTCTCTGTTGTTTTTTGTGGTCTATCTCACTTTACTTTACTTTTTTTCCGGCCCCTGTTACCCTTCGGTGTCGAGGGGAGAAGCCAACATCTTTCACTTGTTTATTGTATCACTCGTTACATCATGGCTATGATGTTGTTCTTGAGTAATGTTTCTCTGTCCCCCTCTATCCGGACTGTCACTTCCTTTGTTTCCATCTGATCTCTGGTAGTATGTTCTCACTGTCTGACAGTATTGCTTTCTCACGGCAATGATTTACCGTTATCATGTCGATTGGCCTGTCCGTACCCGAACTCAAGTTAGCGAGCGGCCTGTTAGCTACAGAATAGACTGTTCTAGTTAAAGTGTGGGACGAAGTTTGGGGGGGGGGGGGTCGAGCTCCCTTGACCCAACCTCTCCCATCCCAGCCCCCTTTCCCCCAACAATACATTGAGGTGATTAGGAAGACACGATTCAGAAAGGACGGAAGGACAAAATTTAAAAAGAAGATAGTTAACCTCTCTTGCGGATTTGAACCATGAACTTTCACGTTTCAAAGCGTCCCATCTTTCTGAAATAGCCAATCGTTTGATTTGAACGTGTCTTCGTAGCTAGACACGCTGGAAGTTTATGAGCTTTCGAAAAATATTTTGGGAATGTTATAGAAGAGAAGTCGTCATTGTGATTCATACTTCTGAGGAGATATTATAATGTCAAAGGTTACAAGCCCC